CAGAGTGAAGAGCAGCTTGTGATTTTTTTCATTCTGTTTGTTATAGGAAACAACCATGAAACCAGGAGAAAATGTTTTCACTTACTTTACATAAAGTGACATGTGACTACATATTTATTACGGCTCATCTTGATGGCAGTACTGGGGTGCCTTAAAGTTGAAGGCCTTAAGTCTTAAAAACTAAAATGAAACAATGACAGAGTTGAGCTGCCTTTCTGTAAAAGCACAGTAAAAGTTTGGTGTTCATCAGGGCTCCACTCTTGGGCCACAGTTATTCCTCTTCCATATAAATGGCTTAAATCCAAATATATAGTTCTCTTTATATTTGAAGATTTTCCTTTTTGTTTAAGTCTAATTTTCAGTCATTGAAAAAGAATTCTGGTGCAGTTGAAACAAATAATTTTATTTTTTTTTATCAGAAAAATTTACTGACAGTTCTTAAATCATCAACTGGTGTTAACTGAAAATCGGTTTGCTTCATTTTTTTAAACTGTACCCAAACGCTTGCATTGTTTCCTATAATAATAAGTTTGAAGGAAACAGAACTACAGAATTTGCCTGAGAATCCCAGGGTTTGCAAACAAGCTGGCATCTTCCAAGCAAGCTACAGATGATTTCAGCAACTTGCTATCAGCGAAATAAAATGCAAGGAGGTTTTTGGTTGCACTTATAACCCTTCAAAGCCGGTCAGAGTGGGCACGCTCTGTTTTGTGTAGAGATGGCACGATACCACTTTTTTATGTCCGATACCGATACCGGTATCATAAATTTGGATATCTGCCGATACCGATATGAATCCGATATAGTGTGTTTTAATGAACAAAACTGTTTTTTTAAATATCTTGCTGCATTTTGTATAAGTTCATACTCAAGTTTAAAACAACAACTACACTAAAGCTATTCTGTTATACCTGTATGCAAAAAAAAAAAATTTCATAGTTCAGCAATACTGATCAATCTAATAAACTTAAACCTATCACATCCTCCTATTCTGGTATTTTAAAGAGTACTTAGCTGTAAATATTAAGCAACCTAACTAATAGGGTTGCAAACTCCCAGACACAAAAAAAAAAAAAAAAAAGGGAACCACCCCCTCAACCTCCACCTCATGATGCTTAATCGACGTAATCAACCTTAATTTGATGCAGTGTGCGAAAAAAAATGCACAGAAATAATTATTTTTCAAGAAATATTAAATAGATTCAACATCTTTCTTCAACAAAATTGCAGACTGCACAGATGGTACTTCCCAAAGGAAAAAGTACTATAGCTTACTAGGGTATATTAGACTTAAAGTTACTATATACAGTAATGACTTCTATCATTTTACATCAATTAAAACTTTGGGTGTAAGATTCAGATAATTATTTATTAAAAGCTAGACATTTTAAATGAGAATAAGAAAGAAAAGTATGTCTTTGTGCCCCCTTTTCCCGTTATGCCCTATCGGCCCCCCTGGCTAAACTTTGCTAGATCCGCCCCTGCACAGTTACCAGCCGTCAGCTACGTAGAAAAGATCCTGGTGTAGAAAGTAATATTAAATAAATTCTAACAACAGCTTATCAAGCTTAAACGTGCTGCTGTTGTTCAGCCGCTGGTTTCCTCTTTCTGGTGCAAAGTGGGCCAAAAACAAACAAGAGAGACGGACTCCGACAGAAAAGCCGATCAGCTGATCATTAAGCAGTTTCATGATTGAAGTAGCAGCAGAGAGAGGCAGTCGCTCCATATTGTTTTAAGCTTAACGCAGGAATGCTTTACAAACATTCAGAGATGGACTTACACACTTGCTTTACTTCTCTCGGGGATAACTTTGTCGGAGATGAAATGCCGGGTTGCTAGCGAAGCTCCAATGCTATCCAGACCACCGACAGGTCCCGCATGCCACAGCCGCTCTATCACGTGATGCATACTGCTCCGACGTGCTAACGTTCTGAGGTGAGTTACGGCGTGTTGCAAGTTTTGTGAGGTGCTTTCGTGATATTTAATGGATCGGATTACATTTTTTATTTTTCTCCGATATCCGATCCAGTAATTTAGGTCAGTATCGGACCGATACCGATACGTAATATCGGATCGGTCCATCTCTAGTTTTGCGTAACTATTTTTAAATCCCGGTAGCACTGCAACCACGTAAGCTAGCGCAATAATTTTTTTTGCATATGAAACCGGAGGAGTTGTACTTACATCTTATGCCATCAGCTTGTCCTCGGTCACAGTTTCCTTCCACATAAGCTTTGCAAAAACTGCATAAAAAGCACTTGCAGCAACAAAAACATAATATTCCAGAAACACGCTTTGCCGATCCGATCAGCTGTTCATAACACTTCCTACGTTGGTATTTTTTACCATCAGGGACCTATGAGCCTATACTGGTGTTTTTAAAAGTTATGTTTGACTTTATGACTTTCTGTGTCGTTTCTGGGATGCTTAGGACTCATATTGCACTGCTGGAAATAGTTTATTTTGATGCATATGCTGCTTTTTTGCAAATTTGCATATAATATTTATTTTCGTTTTTCCTGCAGTATATAAAAATTGGTGTATTTCAAAAATAAAACTATGAAGACACTCAAAATAAATTTCCTGTGGTGGGAAACTATTTTGTGCAACTTTTTTGTATTTACAGTTTTGAGGGATAAGCCTCTTAAATTTCTCTAACTAGAAATATATGTTAAAAAAACAAAAACGATTTTCAATTTTTTTGTAGTTTATTGCACTTTTTTGCAATTTATGTAATTACTATGCACTTAATGCAGACATATTATTAAAATCTGGGCTATAATGGTTGTATTGATGTATAGCAACTTGAAATGCTCCCAAAAATGGTTCTACAGCATGTACAAATATAATATAAGCTCTGGCGGACTTGGTTCTATGGTAGGTCTTAAAGGGTTAACCAGCAACTGCCAACAATGTCCAGACCACTCACCAACTGGTTGAGGAATAGTTATTTTTCTGTAGGGACTGGGAGTCACCAGGGGGTCACCAAAAAGTCTCTACGGCTGTGTGACTGAGGTTTAATTGACATCCGGTGGTTCATAGCAAAGCAAACTGTCAGCAACTAATAAACACTCGGAGAAATCAAAAGGGGGGAAAAACATTTTTTCATGTTTTAAGTGCCAGCTTTTTATAGCCCACAAGTGAGAAGTACCCACAGTTCATGTCATACCAAAGGAGTATTTCTTTTCAGCTCTCACCATCACAGCATTCAAACATTACCAACTCACCAGCCCTTGGTTATCAAAACCGTGAGATGCCCTACCCCTAATGCTTAAATGTTAAAATAATCCCGCTTAAACCTATGGAAGCAGTTTCAAATGGAGGAAACACGAACTCTGTCCATTCATCCATCATGCAAGTAGGAAAAGGCCTGCATGAAATAACATTTGTTAACAGATGATGGGGTTTTGTCTGATTTTAGCAGGAATGAATATAAAACACAAGCATCAAATTCACATGGCTGAGAAATTGCCATGAGTAGAAAAAACTATAGTTGTGTAGCTACTCCTGGAAAAATGTGGATGGGAAAGTTGTTGCACAACAGATCACAGAGTTGAGTCATGACCTACCCCTCTCTGTGTGATGTCACCGCTGAGCCATCACTCTCCACTGACCACATGCACTTGATCAAGTTGTCAAGCTCATTCCCCCATCTCCACTGTCAGTTACTGAGCCATCATCACGTCTTGCCAAAGGGAACGTCAGCATCCCTCACTCAAGCAATCATTGTCTTGAAGTTCCCGGTCCTGGTTGTGAGTCAACATCAGGTTGCAATCTGCTGTTCTAGTAGCCCAAACTGGCTGAACCCAAACATGCTAGCAGCAAGCGTTTAATGGGCGATAAAGCAGGAATAACGGGAATCTGATCCTCGCTTCATCAGCACTTACTCATAGGATGATGCACGGCAGTAAGTAACTGGCTGAGTGATAATATCACTGCATTTCAACGCAGCTCAGCAGTACTCAGTGTACAAAGTGATGACACGCACTGATAAAAAAAGAGAAGCACAAAGCTGTAGTGTGTTTTTCATCTTAAGATCTTTTTCATCAGAGTTTAAATGACAGACGCAGATCAGAAAGTTATACAGGAAAAACAAAATAACTAGGATCTGTAACTAAGCACCAGATTTGATCTAAACTTTACATTTTATCTTGTTCACTTGAAAACTTAAAAACTAAATTAATTTGACAAAATTCATCTTATTGGCTCAGGTTTCTTTTTTGTTCCACTTCACTATCATTTTAATCACCCACATGAAATCTATATCATTTCATATAAAAATACCAAATATTGAATTCAGTCAAATAATGTATTTTCCATAATTTCCTTGTACATATGCAATGACAATAAGGTGCTTAGACAGCTTAGTAACTGAATCTTTGGCCACGTTTAATATGAACATCGCATCTCAGTGGAACAGGAGAAATATGACAGGAAATATGAAGAAAGACACAAAAGGTCATTTTAAAGAAACATGAAAGAAACTGGAAAGTGGATTGAAAGAGTTAAATACAGTTTGGAGCAGAAAATAAATCTGCAGCAATCTGCTACCATCTTCACTGCATCACACACGCACACACGCACACACACATGCACACATGCACACACGCACGATCATTGGGTTGTTGTGGGAAAGCGGAAGCTTAACATCTGCCGAGGAGTCGGGGCTTATACAAGAGAACACACACACAGCACTTTAGGCTCCGGGTCATCTGCATACTACAAAGCAGGCGTGTTGTGGTCCTGAGTTTCTGTTGTAGCGATGACACCAGCGTGCCCCGAAGCAAGGCACAACTGTGAGTTCAAACTCACACAAGCTCAGTTTGTTAAACTTCATGCAATCAAGGAAAGGAGTCGACGGGAGGAAAACCTCTCATCTTGCTCCTTTGTTATACCTCATTATTATGATAAGTGCTTCAAAGTATCTGACGGTTAAGGTGTAATGAAATGAATGTGCAGTCATTTTTCTGTCTCTTTGTGCGCTTCTCTCTCGCCCACAGTGTGCGTGGCCAGGTTTCAGTGCTGCGACATCGACACCACCGTAGGTCTCGGACAGATGTGGTGGAGGACGAGGAAGACCTGTTACCAGATTGTAGAGCACAGCTGGTTCGAGACCTTCATCATCTTCATGATCCTCCTCAGCTCCGGAGCGCTGGTCAGACACACACACACACACACACACACACACACACACACACACACACGCACGCACGCACACTACACACACACACACACACACACACACAGTCTCCTTTAGCTTCATTCTAACTGTAATAAAGATCTTTTTTTCTACTAACTATTGTTTTATTTATTGCGGTTGTATTTTTAACTTTATGTTTTTGTATCTTAATGTACTTTCATTTATACAATAAATGAGTTCTATTTACATTTATATATTTACTCAGTAAAGTAACTGAACTAAAGAAATCCTCTTGCTTCAGTTGACTGCAACTGTCTAATGAAGGCAGCATCACTGAATTAGTTCAATGAATACCACTTTACTTCACTGTACTTTAGTTTAGGCAAGGCAAATTTATTTGTATAGCACAATTCAACAACAAGGTGATTCAAAGTGCTTTACAGAGACATTAGAAAAAAAACAAATAAAAAGCATGATTTAAAATTGATTAAAACAAGCAAACAAACAAACTAACTAAACACACACATTTCACACCTGTTCGCGCGATCTGAACCCTTATCGTAAGGGGAGCTACCAGTCCTTCTGTGGACGAGCTACTTTCTATTTTAAATTCCCCGAATTTAAAATACTCTCTAGACCCAGTCTAGACCCAGTTGGGGAGCTACCCAGAGCTCTAATCCCACTTACTGTATTTATTTGTGTTTATATACACAGCATTACTAATATATTCTACTGTCAGACCCATTTTAGTTCATCGGCCCCATTTAATCTCAAATGAGCCAGACCAGTAAAACCATTAAGCATTCATAAAAACGTCTTTGTTTCTTTGTCTCCTGAGTCTTTGTGCTGAAAAATAAACCGTATGAAAACATTCACTTTTTATCTGGATGAAGTCAAACTCCGGCCTTACACAGATTTATATTTAATGAACTGTCTAATTACAGAACAGATGATCAACACATTTTGAGTTCGCTTTCAAAAATTGAGACAAACAGCAGCAACATAAATCCGTTCTTTGTTCTGGATTAGCAGTGATTTACACAATTATCTTCATATATACATAAAACACATTTCACTGATCATCAGCACAGCTGTTTGTAATAATATAATGTAAACATACAATGTATGCAGTTGATGTTGGAGATCCAGGACTACATAGCTGGAGTGAGCCGCTGAAATCTGAGACTAAAAATTGTTGAAGTGAATCAAATCAAAGCTCTCTCCACCCCCGTTCAGGCTTTTGAGGACATCTACATCGAGCAGAGGAGGGTGATCAAAGTGGTGCTAGAGTACGCCGACAAGATCTTCACCTACATTTTCATCCTGGAGATGATGCTCAAGTGGCTCGCCTACGGCTTCAAAAAGTACTTCACCAACTACTGGTGCTGGCTGGACTTCCTCATCGTTGATGTAAGTTATTGATTTATTTATTTATCAGAGTATCAGCCAGTCACTCACTTTAGCTTTTATGTTGGTGACACAAAAAGGCTACAAATTTTGACTAGGGATGGGTACCGGTGTCTGGTGCCATTATGGCACCGGTTCTGACATAAACGGTAGTAACCAGACCGAAAAGCAGCGCACATTTCGGTGCTTTTTTTTCTGAGAGATGTCATACACTTTGGATTCTAGCCAATCATTTTACCTTTCCAAGGATAGGAGGCGGGTCCAGGTACGTACGTTCTTTTAGAGCAGAGCTACAGATTAAAAATGCCCAAGGCGAAGCGGTCAAAAGTCTGGCTGTACTTCACAGCAAAAGATGCAAACTCAGCAGCAACAAGTGCTTTAAGCTGATACTGTGATACTGTCAAAGGAGGTAACACCTCGAATCTGATGAAACAGGCGACGCATTTTTTTTTTAAAAGCCGAGAAATGCGCCGTATTTGATAGCTTGCTGCGAGACCTCACACCGAGCACATCTACTGCGGGTGTGGTGCCTGTTATCGGACCCGGAGTTAGCAACATCCCCCAAAAACCCGAAGAGGAGAGTCCTGGCCCCTAGCCCTGCCAGTGTAGCAGAAATGATGAGGATGATGATGCAGCAGCGCCGTTCTTCTCTGCGTGAGTAGCTTAATGTTGTTCGTGTGTAATTTACGTTGAGTAGGCTAACCACGTTATTACATTAATGCATGTAAGGTGAACTAGCAAACATCATCATAGCTACATGCGGCTGTCTTCTTGTTTGATGGCAGATACTCCCTTCACCCTGGCCAAAAAGGCTAAAATGACCAAAGAAAAAGTGGAAAACAGCTGAACATGAGAGGTTTTTGGACAAAGTTTGTGTTTTTTCCATTGTTTAAGCACTGCTTCCAGCCAAGAGTGATACCATATATGCCCTATAGCTGCAGAAAAGGCTAACATTGTTATCTTTTTACAAAAAAACAGCTAAACATGAGAGGTTTTTGGACAAAGTTTGTGTTCTCCATTCTTTAAGCATTGGTTTTAGCACCGTTTAAGCACCGGCACCGTTTCAAAAGTACCGGTTTGGCACCGGTATCGGATAAAACCTAAACGATACCCATCCCTAATTTTGACAGACAGCAAACTGTGATGAAGAAAAAATAAGTATAATAAGTATTTTGTCAGACAAAAGTAATCTGAGTATTTTATTGACTGCATGTATCCATTGTGTTGTCATAGATGGTATTTTGTCCCTGTTAGTCTACAACTTGGGAAACACTATGAATGCTGTGATGCAAAAGTAAGAGTGTGATCAAAAAGTTCCAGAGACTGACCTCTAAAAATCAGGCCCCTGATTTAAAGTCCCAGCAAACATTTTGACATTCAATAACCATCAGGACGTGTTCTCTCTACGTCTCGTCATGGTTGGAAGAAAGCTCCAGAATAAACGTTGTTGCGATGTCGGAGATAAAAACTTACTGTCAGTTTGAGGTATTTATTTAATGTTTAATGTTTCCTGGACGTCAATCTGTCTGTAGTTCAGTTTCTGCAGATGTTCCAGGGACTTAACATCAGGGTTTCAAACATCTTTCCTGGGTTTGACTGTTCAAGATCATCGTCTTGTGAACCTCTGGATGACTTTCAGTACAACATCTATTTTTAGATCTCTCATTCTGTCCCATTGTACCTCTATGATGCATTCCAACAGTCTGAGTCCTCTCCTCTGGACAAATTCTGTTGCTCAGGTTTGGTTGTAGCCGAAATCTCAGCTCTCATCACTATGAGCTTCCTTACACAATTCAGGTCAGTTTCTATGCAGGTTTTCACAGTAAAATCACAGAGTGCACAGTAGAGAGCTTGGATTATACTCTGTTGTGGACACGTACAGCTGGAGACTCGATGGCCGAGTGATCATTCCTCAGTAATACTTCTTTTAGGTTCGGTGCCTGGGCACATTTGTAGTTGGTGCGCGTTTTTTTGCATGGGCACAAAAATCAAGCAGGTATGTTTCATGTCCGCTAAGACTCTCGCATTCAAACTCGTCAATGGACAGTGAGTGAGTCACGTCACAGGGACCCAAGCGAACCGCAAATGTGGAAACTATAATGTCAGAGACGTCCTGGAAGAGATCTAAAAATAGCAGCGGTGCTGGGAGCTTCTTGGGCATTCCTGAGAGGATGACTTTGAAGAGGAGATTGCCAAATTTAAATCAGGGAAGGGTTTCGCTTGTGATGGACCTGCTGTCTGAACTCTTTAATCACACTTCATATCTATTTTTTACCCTTTCTGTGTAAATTCTCCATGTTAAACATGGTCTATGTTAAATGTGCAGTTTATGTATAAGAAGAGAATAATTCAGTATTTCTCACTGTCAGCAGTGTCACAGTTGTTGTCTTAGTGCAGCAACTTCCCACTATAAATAAAAGAGTGAGAGACACTGAGCGACAAAGAGAGGCAGAGAGAGAGAGAGCGAGAAAGAAGTTCAAACAGCCTCCGGACAAATAATCAGCCGTGGCTTTTGAACCTATACACACACACATACACACACACATACACACACACTCAGAGATGTGTATGTTTAGACGCTCACACTTTCTTCCAGTGTTCTGGGCAAGTGGCACACAAAGTTTATGATGCACACCATACATATGCATGCACTGAGTCGGAAATCGACCCACTCCCCCGTCTCTCTCACTCCGAGTGTTTTCCGCCTAGCCGTCTTCATAAATGACACTGACGTTTTTATCTGACTGTAGTGGCCTGAAGGGGAACGAGAGGTAGAAATCTTGAGTCACCGAACTAACCAAGCAAAGATGAGACAAGAAACAGAGTTTTATTAACACTATCAGAAATGGAGAAAGAGAGAGACATGCTTAAAGCTTCAGGATTTCATTTTTGAGCACTAGAGGGCAGAAAAGCATCAGAAGATGATATAAAGTAATCAAAAGAAAGTTTTAGCTTCTTTAGATTTTTTTATTTGCAAATTACTTAGTTATCTCTGCTGTGTTGCTTTATCATTATTTTGAAAGAAACTGCTTGAATAAAAAGTTTTCTCTTTCTAAGAAGCTTTTATTTTGAAATGTAAGAAGTAAGTGTAGCTATTTATTGGCTCATAGCTTAACACAGAAATTAAGAATTGTGAACTTAAACTGAAATTAATTAGGGGAAAATAGTAAGAAAAAACAAAAAATAACAGAGTAAGAATTTAAGAAATGCTAAAATGTCTGTTACTTTTTCACGGGAACGTTTTCTGCTAAGTTCCAGCTCTGCATTTCGAATATCTTCTTGGATTCTCTGAAGTAGCTTTGCATGATTCCTAGTTCAAATTCATCCTTATTTGTCTTACTGGTGCTGTTGTAGCACACATACACTGTATAGAAAAATGGAAAAGTTCCAGTAATGTCCACTTGAGGACATTAGTGGATCTGCAAGTTTTCCAACCCCAGACGTTGTTGGTTGATTGCAGCCTGTCAGCTCATCTTCAGTTGGAAACAAGTTGTTTAAGCTTCTGCCCCTCCCTTTAAGCCAACTTTCTCCTGATTGGATGCCCATCTTAAACTGAAGATTTAAATAGCTGGTGGATGGAGCTTATCTGCTCACAGCAAGGGCTGCGACCTCATTACTTATTAAATTATAAATGACAGAAAAGCAGAGGACGTCCCCTTTATTTCGATCATGTTTTTGTTCTTTGCACAGTCTGAAGCTACTTTGTATTTATGTGTAGAAATGTTGTTGTTTACTGTGTAACCGAACCCTGTAGATCTCAGTGTTGGGTCTGATGGCTCAGTACATCTCAGTGGACCACATCACCACCATGCGTGTGCTGAGGACATTAAGAGCTCTCCGTCCTCTCCGGGCTGTGTCCCGCTTCGCTGGTATCAGGGTAAGAATGAGCTGCGTTCACCTGCAGCTCGACCGACCTGAGACCTGCTGCTCGGTGCTGGAAATCGTATGTGTCGTGGCTTTAAATGTTTCTGGGTTTGATTGGGAGGTGATGCGATCCTGGCTTTAATCAGAGGTGATATCTCAGACTGTTGTGGATACAGGTAGTATGTTTAACACCTAACCATCTCTTTTACAGCTAAACATAAACCCTGAAGCTGTTTAAAGCAGTCGTTCAGTGATCTGCACATCCATCTCTATAAGCACTCAGTGGCTTATCAAAGTGTCATAAAACAGTCTGCTTTATTGTCTTGTTTTAAAAGCCATGGATCACTCAGGACTCACTTGACCAATCAATAAACACATTTATTCTTTCTCATTTCTCCGGTTCTTTGTGCTGGCTTCCTAGAAGAGTCTGTAAAATAACCATTTCCTTGTCTGCTTGCAGCTTCACCTGAGAAAGGTTTCAACAATGATAAAAAAAATTGTAGCAGTGAGTCCTTCGTCATGAGCTCAGTGATCACAAACCATCACCCTTCCTTTTTCAGGCATCATCATTCAACTGGAGCTTCATCTCCTGGATCAGAACTTTCTCTCACTTTCCCTTCATTAGAATAGAAGTTAACTGTCCTGCTTCTCTTTTCTTTCCCTTCCTCCTTCTTCTGTCTCTATATTCCTGTCCCTATCTTTTTCTGTCCTCTCTCTCTCTCTCCTCCAGGTCTCATTGGTCAGTTTGGTAGCCAACACATTGGGTTATTCAGACTTAGCAGCCATCAAATCCCTGCGGACGCTGCGGGCCCTGCGGCCCCTCAGAGCCCTCTCCAGATTTGAAGGCATGAGGGTAAGAGTCAGTATTATCAAAGCAAACACATCTGGGCATCAATGTCGAGAGTCCAGCTGAATGTCAAAGGATTTAGTGCACTTATGCTTTAATTTATCACTAAAAACGGGAAAAAGTAAAAGATCTTGGGTAAAAAAAAAAGCTTCTCCTCTACATATATTTTCTTTGCACTTACATAGTTCACATTAAATATACAAAAAAGCGTGTTAAATTTATAATGATCAACAAATTAGCAATTTTTTAATAACATAGGCATTGGCATTTAAAATAAACAAGAAATACAAATTTCAAAATAAAAGAGAGACACCCTTCAGATGGTGTGAGTGTTGTTGTTGCATATTTTGCCCACCAGAGGGCAGTCAGCAGCATCCCTGGTGTCAGTAGGTTTGAAAGGCCACATTAAAACAACCAGCTGAGAGTCAAGCAAAGTGTAAAAGCTGAAATACACACATCACAAATGTTAAGAAATTAGTTTACACTCCATGTGTTTTAAAGATCTGATGATGAATATCGATGTTTGAATCCCCAAATGTCTGTATTAATTTCAACAGTCTTGCATCAGCATTAGCAGTTTAGAAATATCCAGAAGTGACTATATTTGGCTAAAGTATCAGTTTATGCTAGGTAGTTTGGTTAGCAAACTGCATCCACTTTAAATGTTCCAACACAGCAGAAAGTTCCACTTTAATGACTCAAAGCAATAAAGGGAACATCTAAAACAGCAATCAACTACACGTGTCTTTGCTGACACACATGTCAGTTTTTATGACGGGAGAAACAGTTCTTGAAGACCACAAGTGTTTTTAGCATGCTATAAACACTTTTATTTCTCCTGTAAATTTGGAGATTTTAGGCACTTTAGTTATGCCTTCATTTTCCAGCCCTGGAGGTTAGCCCACAGTTGAATTCACAACAATGGCAGCTGAGCTGTGTGCAATCTGTGTTAATACAGCAGAGTTTGTATGCATGCCTCAGCTAACAAGCTAACGCCTCTGACACACCCACCAAACAAAAGAAACATCACCTTGATGTCGGTTGCACTGGAGCCAAACGTTGAGCACTGCTTCAGGTTTGGATGTTTCTTATTAAGTTTCTGTGCAGGTCACTCAATGCTAAAAGGCTCCCTCATTCACAGCCGGCCAACACTGCAGGTAGCTTGCTACGTCTTTGAGTTTTTATGGTATATGAGCTTCTCAGCAACAACAGAAAAAAATGGTGATTAAAATTATGGCGATTCTTGCCATGTAGAGGACAAAAGTTCACCCTTATGACGGTTTTAAATAAAAGCAAAAATAGCAGAAAACAGCTGTTAATTCATATTAATGGGTTTACATAAAGGTATTTCTGCACGTTCTGTTTGTTACCAGAGTAACTGAGTACACAGTACAGACTAAAAGCTTCCAAACAAGTCCCGTCTTCAGGAAGTCGAGTTTAGAGCTGTTTTTGCTTTTAAATTCCAAAGATTGTTGATTGTTGGTATTTTGTGTGATGAGTCTTTCAAAGGCCTTTATCCAGCAACACAGTAGAGGTAGAGAAAATATTCAGAACTTAAACTTGATATACTGTACTCCAAATGAGAGAAGCCCTTCATGTATATATATTAGTGGTGCAACGGATCAAAAATCTCATGGTGTGAGGGACCAAGCAGCCAAAGCAAAGAGGACACAGGGAAAAAAAGTGTCTTCAAAAAGGGTTTTCTTTATTTTAACCCTCAAAAAGTCCAAAATTAACAAAATTCAAAAACATACTTAGCAGGCTCATAAAGGAGGTCAACTAAATATAACTCTACAAAAAGGAATTTCCAGAAACTTAAACAAAGTGAGACCCAACTTAACTCACAAACTGACCTAATTACAAAGACACATGAGGGTAGGTTTTAAAATGATTTGGCCAAACCATTTACACACAATAGGGGGAAAACAAAAACACACACTAATATTAACTAAGCACAGAATAACCCAACTAAACCTAAAGCACCCCTGCTCCTGGTAAACCCATGGTTGGTCCTGCTGAGCAGGCATTTTGTCCCCAGAGTCCTCAGCCACGCCTTTTGCCCAGACAGGAAACAGCCACCGCCCAAACCCAGGTAACTCAAAGAAAGAGAAACATAATTAATATAACAAAACATTTTAGAAAAACCACACAATGTTACTATGTGCGCGCCTCATAATACCAGTGTTAGGTTTAACCAAATGATTAATGAAGAAAACTGCAAAGCAAACTAATAAAGTGAAAAATGGACTAATTTACCCCTGTGTGGCTGATGCCATCACAAGATCACGGTTTTAAGTGACGGATCGATCGATTTTCAGATACGGATCAACCGTGATCCGTTTGCACCACTAATATATATATATGTATGTATGTGTGTGTGTGTGTGTGTGTGTGTATACATATATATATATATATATATATAAATTTTATTGTATTGCACGTCTAATATATATTGTTAATATCTCACTGAGGGGGTTAGCCTATATACACATATATATATATATGTATATATATATATATGTATGTATATATATATATATATATATGTATATATATATATATGTATATATATGTATATATATGTATATGTATATATATATATATATATATATATATATATATATATATATATATATATATATATATATATATACATTGTATATATATATATAATATATATATATATATATATATATAATATATATATATATATATATATATGTATGTATATGTATATGTATATATATGTATATGTATATATGTATGTATATGTATTATATATATGTATATGTATATATATATATATATGTATATATATATATATGTATAGTATATGTATATATATATGTATTATATATGTATATGTGTGTATATATGTGTATATATATATATATATATATATATATGTGTGTGTGTGTGTGTGTGTGTATACATTAAGGTATTTGTTGTAGATTTGCTGCCGTGCTTGGGATTATTGTCCACTTTTGTCTCATCTGTCCAAAGGAAATCCAGAAGTCTTGTGGTTTGTTCAGGTGGAGTTCAGTGTTTTTCTGATGTGCTGTAATGGACTTTAACATTTAACATGCTTACTGAGGCCTGTAGAGTTGAAGATGTAGAAGCAGAAGGTGAAGCTCTTGGGGGTTTTGCAGTTTCTTTAAGATAAGATGAAATAACCTTTATTAATCCCACACATGGGAAATTAATTTTGTTAACAACAGAAAGTGGACAGTGCAGCATTGCACGGTCTGACCTTGGGTTGATTTTCAAGTAAAGTGGCTTTATTGTCATTTCAACCTTGTACGGTGGTACAGTACACAGTGAAACGAGACAGTGTTCCTCCAGGACCATGGTGCTACATATAACAGACAATCAACGCTGGACTACATAAAGTGCGAGTGTCCAAAAATTGCAATTATTTGCCGAAAAATTCCCATCTGGGAGGATTGTGGCATTGTGTTAACTCATACACACTTTTATGGAGGAGCTCACACTGATGATCATCAATTAATCAAGTGTATTTCATCAGCAACATGTGGCTTCTTTTAAGTCCTATGGAGGTAGTAAGGATATACTTTTACATGACTTTGTACTGCTTTCTGATTGGTGAGAAAAACGCATCAGGGATTCATACCGCTGCATATTATTGATCTACAAATCAGAAGAAAAAAAGAAGGGCAACTTAGTTAACAGTTTGTGCATTAGGCTGCCCGATGGCTCAAAATTTAGATTTATTAATATATAATTCAAATAGAAAAAAGTAACTGATCTATCAATAAGTTAAATTACAGTAAAAGCAATAGTAAAAATGTATAATTTATTGTATAAACTGTTTTTACAGTTCAGTACTTCTCCATAAACAGATCACAGTTAATGCTTCTGAATTAATAAATTAAACTTAAACATTTAAATTTACAAAAAGAATGTGTAATACAGTAGCTTTCTAAAAATATTTTTTCACGGAAGATATTTACATCATTCGCCTGTAATTCACACATAACAGCAAATTACTGTAAAGTAAATGTATTATTACAGCAGTTTTTATTAGTGTAATACAGCTAATCTGTTCTCTGGAAAATTCTAGAATTACTGACTGAACTGAATTATTTAGATATAAAGGAAGATAAATCAACTAACTGAGGTGAGGACATGTTTGTGCCCAGGTGTGTTTGTAATGAACATCCCCTCAGTGTTTTCTCACCGTGTGTCATCCTATCATTTCTTATCTGTCACTTCATATTAAACTTTACTCTCTGCTTCCTGCTCTCTGACGGGTTCATCTTCTTTTGAATTTAGTTCTTTCTTTCTTTTTGCTGTGTTGTTTTATTGCCTCCTGTGAATTTGATGTGTATTTTTTCTGATTTCTCTTTCATGTTAACTTATGTCCATCAGCCTTTGTGAGCAGGAGACAAATATCAAGTTACTGTTTGTGTTTCTGTCACCAGTATTACTGTGAATGTGACAAATTTAGAAAATACAAAACTATATTTGGTTCATAGAAAATCATTCTCACAATTTTGATTTCAATTCTTTTGTGTAGAAATATATTTCAAAACATGAAAAACAAACATAAAACTTACAAAACTGAGTAAATGGGCAATGTGAATGGTGGGAATTTGTGAGGAAAGCTTTTATGTATCAAAGCTCTCACAAGAGAATATGTGGCCTTATAATGTTTAAAAACATGGAATTAATTTTGGGGTTAACATAACAATTATTTAATACATAAAATAATTGTTTTTTATTAAACCTAAAGAATACTTGAACTCTTCAGTTCATCAAACAGCAGCTTGGGGTTTGCAGGAGACAGACTCGCTCTCTGGAAGACTAAACAGATGATTTTCTGTGTTAAATTTAAAAATGCTCAGCACTCAGCATCACATTGCTTACTCAGCAAGGCATTCTGGGTATAAAAAAAAACACAAGACGTAAATGTGCTTTGTGAGTGCAGATGAGGACGACCAAACACACAAGCTGACTCACCGCCGTCTATAGATCTGCAACAATAGGAAGCAGGACGGTGGATTTCTCAGAAAAATAAAAATACAGAATCACATAATGAAGGAGAACCGAGTGATTAATGGCACTGCATTTATTTCACATGGGAGCAGAATTTTCTACTTCTTGCATGTCAGGACTCATCAAGTAATTGGCGAAAACAGTCATGTGAGTTCACACTGCCTTTCCTTTTTTATAAAAGGCTGATAAAATAAATCAAATCATGACGTACAGGATTCAACCTAAACAAGTCACACGAGCTGCATGGCTGGTTTCAAACCAGTGGACACTGTAAGGTCAAAGGCAGAATTTAGCGGGTAAATCTAATCAGCATCATCAACTTAAATATAAATTAATGTCTGCTAGATTTGATGTAACCTAGTAACAACCCTAGATATAAGCAGCCCGATACTGCATCACTGTAATCTTTGTCAGAACACTGCAAACTAACCACTTTAACCTGCACTGAACTGCATAGTATCTGTATGCAACCCTTAAATAAAACAAACTTCAAGTACCTTCAAGTCGGGTTTGCGTCACATAAACCTCTGTGAACATTATGTATAGATCCACTGTCTGATTTAAAAACTCCAAAATGAATTAGGACGTTCAATGCCACACTTAAATGTAACTTAAAGAAGTTGGGATTTTGAGGTTGTAAAGAAATGCTAGCAAATAATTCCAGAGTGTAAATCAACATAAACATGTCGGATGAATCTACTCAAGAAATTCACATTTTTAAGTGTTGAAAAATGTCAGTTTCTTGAAAAAAAAATGAAGACATACAATTGAAAACACAAACTTTTGATTAACTAGTAAAATAATGTCACATTAATTAAATACTGTATGTATTTAGAAACTGTGTTCTCTCCCATATGTGTTGGATGCTGCATTAGGCCTCAGTTTCACAGGCTGGCGATCTGCTGTCAGCATCAGGTTGCTTGTGAAAAATGAGTATTCTCAGACTGGTTGGGGAGTGGTTGCTGGAAGTTGCTGGCTGTTACTGTATGAAATCGGTTGCACAATCATGAAAAATGCCAGCTTTACTGCAAAGGGATAATCATTTGCCTTCAAAGGTGAATGGTCTCATTTTGTGGTACATCTGTTAGTTTCAGCGAGTCAGGATCTTCCACATAGAAGACCAAGAAAAGCACTGTATACCTCTTTCTGACCAATTTCACTTAGCAACAGCAAGCAACAACTCACCAACTGGTCACGAAATATACTTTAATAAAGCAACCGATGGTTACCGTAGTGATTTACAACTCTGCAGCCTTTTCTCGACCCAACGTCGAATTTAAACTGTCACTCTTTTCCTCTGTCACATCCGACTGAAAGACAATAAAGAGGATGGACGTAGCCCCCGAGTCCACAAAGTGAAGCAAATAAACACTTTCCTGATGAGTTTATTAGGGGTGCAACGATACTTGTATCGGTATTGAACCGTTCGATACAGTGCTTTCGGTTCGGTACGCATATGTATCGAACAATACAAAAATTTTTATTTATTTTAGCAACTTTTCTTCTGATGATGCTGGCTGTCTTGAGAGCTCAGTGAATCTGCGTTCGACTACTCCGCCTAGGCTGGACTGTCGAGTGCAGATCCACTGAGCACAGCACAAGCTAGCAAGACAGACGCTAAGCTCATTGCAACATGGCAAATTGAACCTCCCCCACCCTCATTCAGATCTGGCGTTTGGAACTATCTTGGTTTTCATGTGACGTATGAACCTGAAGGTAAGCGCGTCATGGACAAAAGTAAAACAGTATGTTGGATGTGCCACGCAATGCTCAATTACATGGGTGGGAGCTAGTGCGTTAGCGCAGTTAGCTCGTTAACGTGTTGACGCCGTCCAGCGGTAACTCGTTAAGGGAGATTTGCCGCGTTATGCTGTTAACGTCATTTTAACAAGATTAACGCTGACAGCACTAGTGGGAACACAACGAATATGACTGCACATTCACAGCAACATCATCCTAGTGCAAAGACAAGTGGAAGCAGACAAAAACAACAAGCATGCATGCTACAAACTTTACCCGAGTCATTTAGACAGCCGTTAGCACATGATTCTCCTTATGGGGACCTGATATGTTTAATATGCTGCTGAGAATATAGCCCAGAAGAAGCGGATAGTATAGCTTTTATTTTGGAAAGAGACATTTCTCTGTAAAAAAAACTCTTTTCCAAAGATGAGTGATTTCTCGATCAGATAGATTTTTTTTTTTATTATTATTATTTTCTTGTTTCAGCAACATTAAATTTAAAAACTGTACTTTTGAGCTAAAATATATATTTATAATTTTAATAAATGACAAATTAAAAAGGCATGAACATTTTTTTGTATCGAAAAAATATCGAACCGTGACACCAAAGTATCGAACCGAACCGTGAATTTTGTGTATCGTTGCACCCCTAAAGTTTATAGGCTTGGTCGCTCATCTGTAGTCATATTGGGGGGGAAATGAAGTCGGTTTTGTACATTTTGGTCCATGAAAAGTGTCACAAAGGAGGATTATACACTTTCACAGTCAGATACACCAATCACTTGTCACCAGTTTTAAAATGCCAGTGCTCATCTTGAGGGTTCAAAACAGGACTTGATGAACCAATGGGTGACTCACAGTTTACATGTCCATCTTTTATACTGTCTATCATCCAACTGCATGGCGTGCTGTGTTGTTAAATTAATGTGTTGGTCAGGTGGTCATTCATTGTTGGCAACACTGATGTTGTCTGGTCTAACTCTGGTCTCTGATCAGTTTCTGGGTTCATCCGTCTGTTTGAGCATGTTGATTTTGGTTTGCTCCGCCGCCTTAACATTTAACTAGAGACCATATGTAAATGGTTTGTCTGTACGTATGAATGCTGGTTTCCGTGCAGGTGGTGGTCAACGCTCTGATCGGCGCGATTCCCTCCATCATGAACGTGCTGCTGGTCTGTCTCATCTTCTGGCTCATCTTCAGCATCATGGGCGTCAACCTTTTTGCCGGGAAGTTTGGCCGCTGCGTCAACAGCACGGGCCAAGTCTACGACGCTTCTGCAATCACCAATAAGTCGCAGTGCGAGACCCACAACGACACCTCGACGCACTACTGGAGCAAAGTCAAGGTCAACTTTGACAACGTGGGTGCCGGGTACCTGGCCCTGCTACAAGTGGTAAGATACTTTATGTTTACTTATTGGAATCAGAGACTTTTATGATCTCCACTTTTTTTGTTTTTGGCTCTTCAAATTTGTACTTAGATTTCTTTGGTTTCCATGAAAGATTTATTTTCAGTTTTTACTGGTCAAACGTGTGCCAAGGTTCTCTCTTTTACTAAGGTATAAAAATACAGATGTACACACAGATCCTGGTTAGTTAAATAAAAGAAAGCTTCTAGTAGAGGCTCTTTGGCCAACATTTTCACGTTTGCATTAATTTAATAAGGTAGCCAGATAATTATGATGCACGGTGAATATGCACAGACTTATCATGCATAATGAGGCCAGAATGGAAGTTTCCCACATTTCCCACCGCTGCCTGTGCTTCTGTGCTCTGTAGAGAGAAAAAGTTGGAGCACTTTTTTAAAAGCCATTTTCACAGTTGGCAAAGAGAGATGTCAGCTTGGGGTTTTGCTGCACAGTGAGTCATGATTCATTATGTGACCTTTCACAAAGGTCACTTTTAAGTTGTTATTAGACACCTAAAAGCACCCCCAGTGCTTTATTTATGGCGTGGGTCGCAGCTTTCCTTGCCTACTTTGTGTTTTCAAAAAATGCATTCAGACCCAGAGACCTGGAGAGAGTGACACGACAGGAAATGTGTAGGATGTTTTCAGACTCGCCACGCCAGCCGCGGTTCTTTTACTCTTTTTATATGTCCTGTTTGAAGACGTATAGAAGCGTTCCCTGGGAAGTCCTACCCCCTACAGATCTCAGTGCAGCTGTGCAAAACAATCACTAGCACACACACACTGAAACAGGATCACGAGGCAGAGCCGCAGATGAAAACGAAGAACAAAATTCTGTCATCGCGGCGCCTGTGTGAAGCTTTGAGGGAAACAAAGAGGTTCGACTGAAGAAATCGAGGCACAAAGTGAAAAATCCTCTCCTTCAAAACAAATTAAAGCTGAGAGTCTCCTCCACATGCCGTAGGAGGATTGACTTTTCCGCTTCTCCAGTCCCTCTCTCTCTCTTGATCTCGTCTTTTCGTTTCATCAATTTGTCGCCTTAGCCTTAATTTTCCTCCCACACCTGTTCTTCATTGCTCTTGCTTTTGTCTTTTCCACTTGTCCACTCTGCCTGCCTCTCTTTGTCCTGTTAACATTGCTGTCATTCCACAACCTTCTGTCCTCTCTGTCATTTATGAGAGCAGTTTTAAACCTCACATTGCCTACAGTAAGTGGCAGGTACACAAACTGCAATTTGAATAAGTAACACATAAGCTGTGAATAACTGAGAGGTACTGATGGGAAAAATAATTGAAAATCTGTTGGGAGGTTATTATTAAAAAAATAATACCTCTCACGGTCAGTCACAGCCGTTAATCTTCATCTGTGTTTCCGGACATGAATTTATTTAGAGTCACATATTTTTGATTAGTTATTTCCAACGAACAGGTTTTGTTTTTGGCAGCGTTTTCATGCATGCGCCTCACTCTGTCTGTAAACATGATCGCTGGAAAACCATTGAATGAATTCTTTTTTGTAAACATATATTTATTGAATTTTGGTTTCATAAACATCAAACACTTTAAACATATGGCAGTAAGAAAGCAATAAAAACACAAGACACTCAAAAAACAAAATCAAATTAAAAAAATTATAATTAAAAAAATTAAAAAAAAATTTTCATTATAACATTAAAATATTTATATATATATATATATATATATTATTATATATATATATAATATATTATATATATATATATAAAAAATACAATAAAAACAGTAGAGGTTACTTTATACATTCCCAAATTTAGTTACATATTTTCATTACCCCGCTCTCCCTCCAGTTCCTCAACTTCCCCAGTCTTTAATAGCTCCAGAACAACACGTCCTCACTCCCGAGGTGTAATATTTTACGCTAGGTGACAAATCGTCAACATGTTACGCTTCTGGGCAACCAACAATACATGGGCTGCAATACATGGCTGAAGCGTGTTTTACCGCGGGAGCGTCATTTGACTGTATTTCACCCATAACCTGGCACGTACCATAACAATGCCGAAGGTCGCCTTTCGCATTCCTCAGGAACGCTGTGGGACGTGACAAATCATCAGGTTGTTATGCCTCGGGAGTGAGAACGGGCTGTCCAGAAACATCTTCCAAATGTATGAAAAATTCTAGTGATCTTTTCCTAACCACATAGGTCAGCTTCTCAAGAACTAAACTTGATTTTACGTTATTTAACCATTGGTCAAAAGAGGGACCAGTTGAATGAATTCTGATAAAACTGTGGGGGGATGTAGAGTGGACTCTTAACATTGGATTCAAATTTGGCTGACATCAACCGAGGTCAAAGTAAAAATATTTTTATAGAGCTATTTCACTATATTTCTTACTGCTATTGTTTGTGACACCACGTAGGACTGTGCGATATGACCAAAATCTCATATCCCGATATAAGAATTGTATCGTCCGATAACGATATAAATTACAAAAATGTAACATTTTCTGTAAATTCTGTGAATCTCGGGCAGCTCGACTTGCAGGAAGTGTTTCCAGCTGGGCGCCATGTAGCTGGAGTCGAGTGTTTTAACCGATGCATGAAACGATACATTTTTAGACATAAGTTGTAACGGCCGCCGTTTTCTTTGTATTTATTACATGGCGTGCTGCAGGGAAAAGCCTGTTCTAACGTTTGAGTCTAAGGTCTATTTTTTAGCCCCTGGCGGCTCTTTTTTTACTTCTCATCCGTAAATAATCTGCTCTTTCACGTGATTCAGTTTATTTTGAAAAGTCTCAACAGGATCTTGAGCTTTATTGTGAAAGGTTTATGTGGAACATAAATGAGCGGACATGCGATGGTGTTACCGTCGTTGTTGCTAACGACAACACATAAAAACAGGCGCTTGTCCATCCGTAGTGTGGTTATATTAAATATAAGAGAAAGAGAGAACTTTAAGAAATGAATATAACCACTACAGTGACCAATAAAACCATGAAAAAATATTGCCGTAAACAGTTTATTTTGCGACACCACGAAACAAACAATAGCGTAAAATGAAACGATAGATGTTTTTATATCGTCATCCGATATATGTCGTTATATCGAACAGCCCTAACACCACGTATCATTATATGTGAGGATCAAATCACACATCAGACACATACAATGTTCCAATCAATTCTTTAAAATGTATTTACCACTAAACATTTAAACAACTGTTGCAAATTCATTGTTTAGACACAATAAATATTTTCCACTTTTATAAGGCAAAAAAGGTCCATATCTGGAGGCTGCAGAGATTTGTGGTGGAGCAAATCATTTGGCCCACATGTCAGAGACGCACGTTTAAGTCAAATACAGCACAGATTTGATTTGATGAAATAAATATGTCTCCTAGTTCAGTTTAAGCATGAAAACCACTGGGTTAACTGTCTGCGGCTGCGTGTCACTTGCTTGTTTTCATAATTAGATAAAAATGATGTTCTGTTGCTGTTAGTCCAGCTTTTCAACAACGCTGTAATAATTTACTGCACATGTAAATAAAAGTCAAACGCAGGTACATAATGAGATATGAAATGAAAAGCCTTTATAGTTATTATATTCAGGATACAAAGAGACTGGCAGTGGCATGCCTGCCTGGAGCATTAGAGTTAGAACGACAAACTTCACATGATGATATAAAAGAATTTACGATGAGTTTCTTGCTCTTCATCCTTTCGCTCTCTTTTCCTTTTCTGCTTTTCCATTTCTTTCTTTGCCTGTCCCTCCTTCCTGTCTCTCCATCTTCTGTTATTCAACACAACACGGACAGGGCAAAATACTGCAACTACAACTCCATTTCCCCCTCCGTCCTTTATATCTCTCTATCACCTTCCTTGCAAACCTTCATTTTCTTCTCTCTCTCTCTCTGTCTTTACTTCACTCACTCCTTTTTCCTTCGTTCTCGCTCTCTGACGCCCACCACGGGAGTCCTGAGAGCCTCCAATCAATCAGCGTCTGAGAGGCTTTTATTTTTAGAGCGACTTCAGCCAAGTGGGAGAGAAATGCAGAGATGGAGGGAGGAAAAGTGCACGTAGAATTAGAAATATTAAACTTAAACAGCAGTGAAAGAGAAGGCGAAGATGGAGATAAAAGGACGGAGAGGTTGGAGTCGAGGGAAATGTGGTGGATTTCACAGAGGAGGCGAAAGGACCACAAAATAAGTTGTGGAACGGCGTGCTGCTGCTTTCACCGTCAGCTTCCCAGAACTTAAGAGTTGCCAGAGTACGGTCGCCTTGGCAACCAGTTGCTCAGCACATCTCTGTTTTTGGCTGGTCGGCGCGGCAACAGTTGGTGGGGGCAAACCTTCTATTAGCATCTGGAAATATCTCCACACTGCAAAAAGTGATGCAGACACTTTACTGAGATTCTGAATCCAGTGTGTTCTCTCAGTTAATCATCAATAAATAATATTATACGATATGTATGATTTTTAATGGTCTCCTGTTAAAATTCAAGCTAGCACAGCTGAAAAGTGTCACTTCACGCCATCACCTTCCCCAAAAAAATGGGTTGGCACCGCTTCCTCGTGATGTCAGTGAAGGTGCTGCTTCTCATCAAAGTCACTGTGGAGATAACCCAACAGCACTCAGCACGAAGCTCTCCATTTACTGCTCACTCTATGTTGCTTCCTCACCTACAGTCACGAGCTCTGGGTGGTGACCAAAAGAGAGAGGTTACAGATACCAGGGCCAAAAAGGACTCTCCTTCTACCTGTGGCTGGGCACTCCCTTAGACACAGGGTGAGGAGCTCAGCCATTTGAGTAGCCCCTGCTCCTCCACATCTAACGGATCCAGTTGAGGTGGTCTGGGCACCCGACTAGGATCAAAGACGGAGTGACCAAAAGATAATTTAAGATGACTGTGTTACGCAGCTGGCTGTCAGTGGTCGGATTTACTTCTGACCGGGCGTTGTTTATGACAGAGCAGCTCAGTTATGGAGACTCAGCACTGCGCTTCAAACCACACAAAATAAGGTTCAGCAGCCACCCGTAAATGTCATCGCTGACTTTTTAACATCCTTTTATAGCGTGAACCCTTCTCACTGACAGCCCATAATAACAACAGGTGGTAACCCGCAGTGACAAGCTGATTTCAGGTCTAAATGTGACAGACAGCAGGTGCCCACTCAGACCAAAGTATCCCGTTTCCCTTCTTTCTTCTCTGTTCCCTCCATCTCACATCCTCTCTCGGCAAGGACGGAAGTCCCTAAATGGACCTGTTGATCCTTCATTGAGAAAAATGCAGCATCAGTACTGCTCTCTGCTAATTTTCTGCTAAAGCAGGAGGTTTGCTTCAAGACCCTTTTTGTTCAGTTATTCTCTTGAGTGGAGGAAATGTGCACAACATCGCCTTGGTGACGTGGGAACAGAGAAACTCGCTTGACATCCCCAGAAACAGAAAGAACAGGAGCTGTGATTTTTTTTCTCTCTTTTCTATTGATAAGCATCTGAAAAGCAGAGAAGAGATTTTATTTAAAGCTGCAGTCTGTGCAGCTAATGGCTGCTTAAAGTAGGCGGTCCGTTTAGCACATTAGCATTGAGTGTAGCCTCATGTAGCCTCATGTAGCCTCATGTAGCCTGCAGGTGTTGCGAATTGTGATTTTACTAAACTGAAAACATGAAGTCAGTGCAAACGGCTCAACCTGAAATCCCAAATCAAAAATGCAGCCTTCTACAGCTGAAGAGACCAAACACCCCCGACACCCCCTTCCCTGATTTTGCACATGCACTAACATCTGCCGCAGATTCACACCACCCATTCCTTTTGGATCATAAAGCGAGGACAATCACTGGATGTCTTCTCTTCACGTCAGGTTCATGTAAAGCACAGGTGTCGAACTCCAGGCCCCGAGAGCCGGTGTCCTGCAGATTTTGATCCAAGACAGCTGATTTAAACGGCTAAATGACCTCCTCAACATGTCTTGAAGTTCTCCAGAGGCATGGTAATGAACTAATCATTTGATTTAGGTGTGTTGACCCAGGATGAGATCTAAAACCTGCAGGACACCGGCCCTCGAGGCCTGGAGTTCGGCACCCCTGATGTAAACGAACATGTTTCAGTCCTGAGTGTTCAGCTAAGTTATTCTTGCCTCTCCCGGAGAGTCATCTCGGACTTTTAAGTCTCGACATCTTAAAGTCTTTCACATGCAAACATACATACATCGGGTCAGTGGGTATCAGCCTTCTGACCTCAAAAAACTGAATAAAATTTTTACTTCGATCACAAGTTTGCATGAACATGAACTGAATAATTGTCTCTTATGGAGTGGGAAAGTTGTACATCTCCCTACACTAAAGAAATCAGTGGTTCTGTCTCGCTACAGTTGGTAAGGTTAAAGTGACAACAGTTAACTCATTTCTGTGATTTTGTTTGGTTTCAAGGCAACGTTCAAAGGCTGGATGGATATCATGTACGCAGCGGTGGACTCGAGAGCTGTGAGTAACGACAACATTTTGAATGTGCACGTGATTCTGAATCTTTTCACCATCTGAATAGAGTAAGATTCAAAGTGAGTTCGGCATCACTTTTAGCACCTCCTCTGGACATTAGAGGAACTGCAGGTTTCGCCACTTCAGCATCAGCTTTAGTTTTCTTCTGTGGATGTTGGCGCTCGATTAGGACTGGAAACAAAAAAGGGTCAAATTAAAGTTCAATGAAAAAGAAATCTAAACAGATTGATATGATGTCGTGTTAATAACTGATAATGTCTTTAAAATGTCAGATGTGAACAGGATTAAAGGTGGAACAAACATTGAATACAGTCAAACTGAAAGTCAGAAACAGATCCGTGTGTTCCCTGAACAGGTGGAGGAGCAGCCTATCAAGGAGATCAATCTGTACATGTACCTGTACTTTGTCATCTTCATCATCTTCGGCTCCTTCTTCACCCTCAACCTGTTCATCGGTGTCATCATCGACAACTTCAACCAGCAGAAGAGAAAGATAAGTACCACGGCTGACACCAGCGTCACACATGGCACAGGAAACGCACATTTACTTTCTACAGCTTCACATTTTAAATCAAAGCAAAAGTGTCTGAATATATATTAACAGGTTCGCAGGTTCTTTGTAAAAACATTAGATGGCAACCTTAAGTCTTATAAAATAACATAGATGTTGCTTGGTTTGTTTACTTAGGAGGACAGGACATCTTCATGACCGAGGAGCAGAAGAAGTATTACAACGCCATGAAGAAACTCGGCTCCAAAAAACCTCAGAAGCCCATTCCCAGACCGATGGTACCGACACACAGCACGTCCACCTTAAAAACACTGATTCAGTTCTACATGATACGTCTAGAAATGGTTTCATTGGTATTGTTTCTATTCAAACAGATTTTGAACACTCAGTTTTAATTAACAGTTTATTAAGTATGTTAAAGTTAACTTTGTAAGGACAGAAGCGTTTTTTATTATCAAGTCGAAGCCGAATGGAGGAAACTACCTTTAAATATGTATGTAATCATTCCAATGATGATCTAAAATTAATTTTGACCACTTCTGCTTTTTTTTCAATTAATATTTGGCTGCAAACACAATAGTTAGGTTAGTTATTAGATTTCACTTTTCCTCTGTACACCACCATAGTGGATTCTTTCAGCTTTAATTTGAGGGGTTTCACGAAAGTGTTGCTTTAACTGTTTAGGAATTACAGACATTTTCACACACAGTCTGAATTAACTGGATAATTGACTGGCCAGCAGTCCTGTGGCCAGTGAAGTATCAAAGCGTTAAGTTTGTATTTTATAGCTTTTCACTTTAAATTTAAATATCAGGCCGTGAAAGATGTCGATGGAAGTGAGCGACGCCATCGTTAGGCTGGAAAGACAAAGCAAGACGAGTCAAACTTTTAAGAGTGGCTCAACAAACAGTCTTAAAAATGACGAATGCACTGACCAGCTCAACAGTGCCAAAATGCCTTAAAGGACAAGAGAAGTGGATGATCACAGAATTCTTTCCTTAGTTAAGAAAAACAATTTGACATCATCTAACCGAATCACGAAAACTCTAAAGAACGTACGAGAGCCATAATCAAAGTCTTCAATTTAAAAAAAAAAAACATAATAAAAGGTGCAAACCACTGGTTACACTCAGCAAGGTCTGATTAGGCTTCGACAGAAAACATCTGAAAGAGACAAGAAAGAAAGAAAAAAAAACCTAAAGACCGAAGATGAATTTGTCCCAGAATGATGGGAAGAGAAAAAACGGCAACAAGTAACCCAACAGTTTCTCAAGATAAGAGAAATTGAGGAGAAATCAGAAATGGGATCTTCATAAATGGCAAAGTCAGTCTCTTGATCTCAACTCGAGACAATGTTTGCCCAGTTAAGACCCACAAAGACCCACAGCTTCTGGTGATGGTCACAGTTTCTAGACTTCAGGCTGTCATTAAATGCAAAGGAGTTTCATCCAAGTATTAAAAAAATGAAATCTGAACTTGGATCACATCATAGTGATCCAAGTTCAGATTTTCATTTTTTTTAAGCAAAATTAGAAAAATTGTGCCACTGTCCAAACAACATATGAACCCAACTGTTCAATAGATTAGAGATTACGTCCTGTGAACATCTGAAATGTGCAGGAAGCGTTGTTGGGAAAGTGTATGACAGATGTAGCTGTAGTAAGACATGCATGTCATCTTCAGTTTATCGACTGGCCTTCAGAGGAATGTTTGACTTACCAGCATATCAGAAAACAGAGCAGCTGCTCACTGAAGAATCTGTTTACTTAAAAAGATCTGGACCATTAATATGAGTGTACTTCACAGTGACGCACAACATGCCCTTTATACCTGATAAGAGATGTTATGATATACACCTATAGTATACCTCTGTATGTACCTCAAAATTCACCTGAAGATCAGCTTCTACTGCTCCAAGAATTTAGATGAGCCTTTCTAGGAAACTGATAGTTTATGAGCCTTTTTTTTCCGTTAACTGCTACGTTAGTGGGTGCATAATAAATGTAGCCACAACCACATTTTCCATTTCAAGTAATCAGTACCAAATTATGCAGTAATTATGTTTGTATTATACATCTAACCTCTTACATTTCTAGGAAAAGAAAGAGTTTTTGTGGAAATTCGTGTGGAAATTGAACAACATAAAATCAAGTGTTTTTGTCAAGGTTTTCTTTTTAATCACTAATCATTAGCTAAACCGTGGCCGGGGCTCAACAGCTGTTGATGTTGAGTTTAAAACGCAATCTGAAAACTTCTATTTTGTAAACTTCTAATTAATTTAAACTAAGATTCAAGTTTTAAAACATTTTCTTCTGACATATTTATAAAATTCATATAGTGGAGTTTCTTGTAACTTGCCTGAGAAGCATAAAGATAAAAATATAAAACTATGCAGTGAGCTAATATATCTAATGTCTGCCTGACAGTTATCTGTCAGCAGGATGGCCATCCGGGCAGTCTTGATGTTTATCCTGCACAAAGGTCATCATTGCTCACATTACAGCAGAACTGCATGAATCCTGCTGCTGTGTCACGCTCCAGCTGTTTACTAACATCAAAGTAAAGAAGGCGACGGATGACAAATTCTCCACGTTCTCACGCCCCAACCATGCACACGTACAGAGATTCCTTCAGTCCTTTACTTTTGTAGAAATGTAAGTGTAGAAAGGTGTTAGACTCCTTATTGGTGCATGTAAACACAATAAGAACAATAAGTCAAGTTTAGGATTTGTTTCAAAAACATACATGATACACATAAGCACAAATATGGGCGTCCCCCTGAGTATATGTCTGAGCTGGTACACTTTTAAATCGCAGGCTGTTTTATTTACATCAGCTGAGCAGCAGCTGTCAGCAGTCCCAAGAACCACGCTCTGAGACACTTGAACTCTCCCCCTCCAGATCGGGTCATCGACCCTCTCCAACAGTCTTCAGATCTAAAAACGCACCTCATCTGAAGGTCTTTTTCAGTCCAGGTTCAGCTTACAGGAGCGTCTCAGCATCATTACTCAGCCCGCAGGTTCCATATCCTCTCAAAGTCCATTATTCTTCTTAAAACTGAATAATTAAATGGTCGCTTTCCTGTTATAGCAGCAAGAAAAGCATCTAATAACAGAATAATACGATAACTTATTAAAGCAGAATAACTCTCAGAATACAATAGACAGAATAGAATCACCAAAGTAGAATTACTCAATTAGAAATGAGATTCTCGAGAATTCGTTAGAGTTAAATGTCTCTATAAGGGAGAGAACAAAGTAGCTGGTAAAGAATAAGAAAATCAAATGGAAATAAAATATTAACTTAACAAGTACAACAAACAAACGTGGCAGTATAAGATGAAAATAAGATGTGCTTTTTGCTGTTACGTTTAGCATCATTTGCAGTAAATTACCTGCGACAAACCTTCGGACCTCATGTTCACCTCACTGGCACACACTCTCTCTGACTGAGTCACCATGCCAGACTGGTTGTCATGTTGAGAGGATGGCGATTAATTGCAAACCTTCGCCGAGCTCTTTGAGAGGGATCCCAGTCAGGTTGCCTCTCTCTTCTGCAACCTCTCAGAACTCTAAACTTTTGGGCAACCAAAAAGTGAATACAATCACTCTCCAGCTACCAGTTTTTCCTGCTTTAGTGTGACTGAAGGCTAAGGTGTCCCTTGCATGAACGTCTGTCACAACCCTGTGCAGCATATTAAAGAAGCTCGGCGCATGAAAGTGTCAGATTAAAGTTGAAGTCTCAAATTAGAGAACAGATTATTCTCGTCTGGACAGAAAGTTGTTGAATTAAGTGGCAAAAAATTCTGCATCTGCTTTTGTGGCAGCGAAGCCTGTAAATGTCTGCTGTACAGCACTTTGATTGGTGTCTTTAATGACTGGCTTATAAACAACCTGACGTGGCTTAGCAAAGACAGAAACACTAAATGGGGGTTTATCGGCTAACCGAACCTTCTTGGTTCTTAGAACGCTCTGCAGGGCTTCTTCTTCGACCTGGTTGGGAAGCAAGCGTTCGACATCATCATCATGGTGCTGATCCTCTTCAACATGATCACCATGATGGTGGAGACGGACGAGCAGCCGCCTCAGATGGAGAAGATCCTGAACAACATCAACCTGGCCTTTATCATCATCTTCACTGCCGAGTGCCTGATCAAGATCATGGCGCTGCGTTGCTACTTCTTCACCGTTGGCTGGAACATCTTCGACTTCGTGGTGGTCATTCTCTCCATCGTGGGTGAGTTCGGCTTCAAAAAGATTTTGAGCCAGATTTACTAAACGGGGTAAAAAGCAGATGGTCCCCAAATCCATAAACAGTGCTCACAGGTGCGGTTAGTTTCACACAAAATCTGCAGTGTTAAGCACAGGCACACTCAGTTCATTTTAATAACAAAAAGAAAAAAAGAGCAGTGTCTTGTGAGTGCAGAGTATTTCAAACACAGACATAAATCAAAGTATAAACCAAAGCTTCCTAGAAAGTTGTACATTGTGTTGATCTATTGAAAAATAATAATTGCAGTTCCAATAATGGCCTCTTGAGGCAGGCTTTATATTATGAAAATGCTCAGATTCACAGCATTAAAAAGTAAGTTAACAGCATGGTAAAAAAAAACAACAACATGGTTTCGGTCTCTATGGACAGTTTCCACCAACTTTACAGCAGGTGATTTTTTTATTACGTGTTTAGATATCAGTAAGGTTTAAAGATAAGGATCTCCAACTGGAGCAAAATAAAGACAACTTTATTTTAAATGCGGTGCAGCAGAAGGACTGATGTGCAAAGTTTCCTCTAAAATAAAGTGACTAAAATCTGTCACATTTTTGACGAATCAACTTCTAAGAGTTTTTTTCTAAGAAATTTTGAATTAAGGAGACATTTCACTTACCTCTGACATTACTCAACAAAGAGCTGCTCATTCATCGTAGCCAAACTATGCTGCTCTTACTAGAAAATGTCTTTTGCTCACAATTAAACACCTGCTAACTTTAAGGAAATAGTTTCTAGGAAACTAAAATGTTTTCTTAAGGTTTTTTTTATAACTGCTGGTGATTAAACTACAATACTGAAACTGTGAGGCAGTATTTCAAAGTTCTTCTTTTGTTCTAAACTTACTTTAAAATCATTTTGACCAAAATACAAGCTGAAAGGAAAGATTAAACAAATCATCTTGCTTTCCTTCATTATCAGACATGACATGTGTCAAACTTATATACTGCTGTTTCACATAACTTACAGCTGACATAAGGCTTTGTGTGTGTGTGGAGCTCATGATACATCGCATGTGTACACATGTGTGTCAGCCATCAGCTGTGGCAGCAGAAAACAATGGGACGTCTGCCTGACAGTTATCTGTCACCAAAGTGACCATGTGGTTGGCCTTTATGTTTAACCTGCACCAAGGTCTTGTGCGGTCATGTTACAATTACACACACACACACACACACACACAATAACACACATGACAGGCAGTCTGCAGGGACAGTACAGAGTATCCCAAGCAGTTAATTCAGCTATCAGTGTTCATACGTCGCGTGCGCTGCTGCTCCTGTTCGCCTGACAGGATTGGGTGTATGTGTGTAATTAAGTGTGTGTCTGTGTGTGTGTTAGTGTGCACACTGAGGCGAGGCTGCATGGGGGAGGTGAAGGTAACAGCAGCAATCGGAGCTGCCACAGGGCGGTCCCTGGAGACAAATCAAACATGATTGACCTGTTACATCAGCTGTTCTGCGTCTGTGTGTGTGAGAGAGAGATGTTAGGATGGAGGGCATAAGCTGAGTTGATGTACGATGTGATGGTGATTCCCTCTCGACTCCCTCCACTCCTTCCTTCCATCACCTATAACTTACACAGGGAGGTGAATGAAAGAAAACAGTATTTGTGTGTGTGTGTGTGTGTGTGTGTGTGTGTGTGTGTGTGTGTGTGTGTGTGTGTTACTAATTATTAGATATTGAAACCAGCACACT